TCACCACCCACCATCATCACCCACTAGTGGGCATCACCTCTATATTCTATTATGTTGGCCACCGTCACCACCCACCATCATCACCCACTAGTGGGAACCTTATAACTTGCTGTTTCATTCCTTGGTTAACTCCACTCGTCAACAAAGAACATTTGTCACATTCACTCACACTATGCTGAAGAAAAGCAGCCCATTTCTGGGGAAAGCTTGACTGTTACCAGAAGAGAACAAGATCATTGGTTCAAATGGGCTAGATATATGATATCTAGCTTGCTAATAGCAAAAGTCAACACTGTTGGAGTGCAGTGGTACAATAATATACATATGGCAAATGGTACATATTTAAAATGTTCTGTTTGATAAGTCTTGACTTACATTATGCCATGCACTATGATCAAGACAATGAACATATCCATCACCTCCAAAAGTTTTTCAAGCCAGGTGTGGTGGCTTATGCCTGTAATCCCAACACGTTGGGAGGCTGAGGTGGGCAGATCACTTGAGGTCAGGAGTTCAAGACCAGCCTGGCCAACATGGTGAAACGCCATCTCTACTAAAAATACCAACATCAGGCAGGCATGGTGGCACACACCTGTAATCCCAGCTACGTGGGAGGCTGAGTCAGGAGAATCGCTTGAATCCGGGAGGTGGAGGTTGCAGTGAGCCTAGATTTTGCCACTACACTCCAGCCTGGGCAACAGGATGAGACTTTGTCTCAAAAAAAAAAACCCCGAAATTTTTTCATACCCCTTTATAATCCTTTGGTTAGGTTACTCGTCTCCTTGTCCCCAGACAACTACTGACCTGCTTTCTGTCACTATAGATCAGTTTGCACTTTCTAGAATTTTCTTTAAGTGGATTCATACAGTATATACCTTTTTTTGCCTTCTTTCACTTGTAATAATTGAGATTAATCCATGTTATTGCATGTATCAGTGAACCATTACTTTTATTTCAGAATAGTAGTCCATTGTACGAATATACCACATTTTGCTTATTCATTTGTCAGTTGACATCTAGGGGGTTTCCAGTTTGGGGCTTTCACAAATAAATCTGCTATGAAGATTTGTGAAGATGTCTTTGTGTACATATATGCTTTCATGTATGTTGGGCAAATACCTAGGAATACAATGTCTGGGCCATGTGACAGGTGTATATTTACCTTTAACAAAATTGTTTTCCAAACCATTTTCCAAAGCTGTTGTGCCCTGTTACATCCAGTATATGAACAGTATATGAGCAGTCCCAGTTCCTCCACATCTTTGTCAACACTTGGCATAGTCAATCTTTAATATTAATTATTCTAAGAGTTGTGTACTGGTATTTTGTTGTGTTTTTAAATAGCATTCTCCTGTTTGCTAATGACATTAGCATCTTTTCATGTACTTATTTGCTGTCCATATGTCTGCTTGGTGAAGTGTCTGTTAAAATTATTTACCCATTTTTTATTGGATTGGGTTTTTTCCTGAATACTGAAATTTGAGATACAAGTTCTTTATCAGTTATGTGATTTGCAAAGATTTTTCTCTGTGGTTTGTCTTTGGAATTCTTAATTTTGATGAAGTACCATTTACCAATTTTTTTATTTTATGAATCATGATTTTGATGTTGTATTTTTAAAAATCTTTGCCTAGCCCAAAAATAATAAAAAGTTTTATTTGTGTTTTATTCTAAGCTTTATCTATGTTTTCACTTGGGCGTTAGTTTAAGTCTGTGATCTATTTTGAGTTAACTCTTGTATATGGTGTGAGATATGGCTTGAGGTACCTTTTATGTATATGGATAGTTAGTTATTCCAGCATCATTGTTAAAAATACTATACTTTCTCCATCACATTGCCTTTGCACTTTTGTCAAAAATCAAATAACTATACAATTCTAATTCTGGCTTCTTGATTCTGTCCCACTGATCTCTATTTTTTTTTATTTTTATTTTTATGTTTTTTTTCCTGAGACAGAGTCTCACTCTGTCACCCAGGCTGGAGTGTAGTGGCGCAATATCGGCTCACTGCAACCTCCGCCTCCCAGGTCCAAGTGATTCTCCTGCCTCAGCCTCCTGAATAGCTGGGATTACAGACACCCGCCACCATGCCTGGCTAATTTTTGTATTTTTAATAGAGATGGTGTGTCACCATGTTGGCCAGGCTGGTCTCGAACTCCTGACCTCAGTTGATCTGCCGACCCTGGCCCCCCAAAGTGCTGAGATTACAGACATGAGCCACCATGCCCAGTCAGATCTCTGTCTATTTTTATAACACACTGTCTGCATTACTACAGCTTTATAATATTCCTTGAAATCAGGTAGTGTCAGCCTTCTAAATTCATTCATCTTTTTCAAAGTTGTTTGGCTATTCTAGGTCCTTTGCAGTTCAAGATAAATTTTTAAATTGGTTTGTCAATTTCTACAAAAAGATTGTTAGGGACTGGACACGGTGGCTCATGCCTGTAATCCCAGTGCTTTGGAAGGCCAAGGAGGGAGAATTGCTTGGGACCAGGAGTTCAAGACAAGCCTGGACAGCCTGGCAGCATATTGAGACCCTGTCTCTACCCTGCAAAAAAAATTGTTTTAATTAGCTGGATATGGCAGCACATGCCTGTAGTTCTAGCTACTTGGGAGGCTGAGGTGGAGCACAATGATTTGAGACTTTTCTTTTCTAATATAAATGATTACTGCTATAAATTTTCCTCTAAGCACTGGTTTAGCTACAGCCTACAATTTGGCATGTTGTGTTCTCATTTTTATTCAATTCAAAATACTTTCTAACTTCTCTTTTGCTTTCTTTCTGGCATTGATTATTTAGAACCATATTGTTTTACTTCCAAATATTTAAAGATTTCCAGAGAATTTTCTGTTATGGATTTGTAATTCTAATGTATCACAGAATATACTTTATATAATTTGACTCATTTTAAATTATTGAGAATTGCTTTATGGCCCAGAATATTGTGTATCTTAGTAAATGCTCTGTGTGCACTAGAAAAGAATGTGTCTTCTGCTGCTGTCGCTTGGAGTTTCCTAAGTTAGTTCAAACTTGTTGATTGTATTGCTCAAGTCTTCTATGTCCTTCTTGTTATGTCTGTTAACTTATTCTATCAATTATTGAGAAAGGGATATTGAAATATCTCTCAATGTGGATTTATTTTTGCTTAATGTATTATGAAGCTCTGTGATTAGGCTTATAAATGTTTAGGATTGCTGTATTTTCCTAATGAATTGAAATTATAAAATATCTCTCTTCATCTTTGGTAATATTTTTAGTTTAGTTTAGTTTTTTTTTTTTTTGTGAGATGGAATCTCGCTTTATCACCCAGGCTGGAGTGCAGTGGTGCAATCTTGGCTTGCCACAACCTATGCCTCCCAGGTTCAAGCAATTCTCGTGCTTCAGTCTCCTGAGTAGCTGGGACCACAGGCGCCTGTCACCATGCCCAGCTAATTTTTGTATTTTTATTTTTTAATTTTTTAATTTTTTGTTGTTGTTGTTGTTGTTGTTTTTGAGATGGAGTCTCGCTCTGCCACCCAGGCTGGAGTGCAGTGGCCGGATCTCAGCTCACTGCAAGCTCCGCCTCCCGGGTTTATGCCATTCTCCTGCCTCAGCCTCCCGAGTAGCTGGGACTACAGGCGCCCGCCACCTCGCCTGGCTAGTTTTTTGTATTTTTTAGTAGAGATGGGGTTTCACCGTGTTAGCCAGGGTGGTCTCGATCTCCTGACCTCATGATCCGCCCGTCTCGGCCTCCCAAAGTGCTGGGATTACAGGCTTGAGCCACCGCGCCCGGCCTAATTTTTGTATTTTTAGTAGAGACAGGGTTTCACCATGTTGGCCAGGCTGGTCTTGAACTCCTGACCTCAAGGGATCTGCCCACCTCGGCCTCCGAAAGTGCTGGGATGACAGACATGAGCCACTGTGCCCAGGCTGAAAAAACTTGGAGGTGATGGATATGTTCATTATCTTGATTGTGGTGCATGGCATAATGTAAGTCAAGACTTATCAAACTGGGCGTTTTAAATATGTACCATTTACCATATGTGCATTATTGCACCACTGCACTTGAACAGTGTTGACTTTTGCTATATCAAATTAATAAATATTACCCATCTTTCTTTGGTAATATTTATTAATAAAATAGTCCAGCTTTCTTTTGACTAATGGTCGGATGGTACATATTTTTTTCATCCTTTTACTTTTATCCTATCTATGTCTTT